CGCGAGGCAGCCTGCAGCCGGCCCCGGCGCAGCCCCCCGGGGACGCGGCGGCCCAGGCCTCGGTGAGCAACGACGAGGACGCAGGCGGCGGCGGCGTGGGCCTGGAGCCGGAGCTGGTGGACCTGAAGATCGTGTGGAACAAGACCAAGCACGACGTGAGGGTTCCTCTGGACAGCACGGGCTCAGAACTGAAGCAGAAGATCCACTCCATCACGGGACTCCCGCCCGCCATGCAGAAGGTCACATATAAGGGGCTCGTCCCTGAAGACAAGACGTTGAGAGAAATCAAGGTGACCAGTGAGGCCAAGATCATGGTGGTTGGCTCCACGATAAATGATGTTTTAGCGGAGTGAACACGCCCAAAGATGCTTCGCAGCAGGATCCAGAGGCTGAAGAGAACAAGAAGGAGCCCCTCTGCAGGCGGAAACAACACAGGAAAGTGCTGGATAAAGGAAAACCTGAAGACGCGATGCCTTCTGTTAGGGGTGTCCGGGAGCGCCTGCCAGCAGTCCCTCTGTCCGGCATGTACAACAAGTCTGGGGGAAAAGTGAGGCTCACCTTTAAGCTAGAACAGGACCAGCTAGCTGTGGATCGGCACTAAAGAGCGGGCGGAGAAATTGCCCATGAGCTCCATTAAAAACGGGGTCAGTGAGCCTATCGAAGGACATGAGGACTACCACGTGATGGCATTTCAGTTGGGCCCCACGGAAGCCTCTTACTACTGGGTGTACTGGGTTCCAACTCAATATGTGGATGCAATCAAAGACACTGTGCTGGGCAAGTGGCAGTATTTTTGAAAGCACTTTCACCTTTTCGCCCAGGAAACTGACCCAAAGTGAAGGACCTTGCAGGAGAGGCCTGCAGCATCCTGGATCTGAGTTCTGGAACTTTGTTCACATAAACCGTCTCTGCGCAGTCTGCGATGATGTGGGGACTGAAGCCAGAGGTTATGTACTTGCACCATTAGCTTAATTTTAACTTAAAATCACCAGTTCCCTTTCTTGCAGTCAGCTTCCTACCGTTTTTAAAGTCAGTACCATGGAAATCAATAAATCTGAATTCCGAACCAAAAAAAAACGATGTTCAAGTTTTGACTAAATGTATGAGGGATAGTTGGGAAAATATGGTGAATATTTAAATTTTTAAGATTTATTACTGCCAAACACACATTGCCAGTAATCCCCTCAAAATACTTCCTTTGTGTCAAGCACACTGTCATTCTTACATTTCTGGAAACAGTGCCGGAAGTCCTCTTTGTGCCTTTAGTTACTGCAAGGGGCTATATTGATATCCTGAGTCAGTTCAAAACATTTATCTTTCATGATCATTTTGACCTTGGATAAGAACAAGTGCCAGATCCTATGAGGATGGTAGATGAGGAAACACCCCTAATGCTTTTACAGACCTAGCTTTTTATCAGATGGCACTTAGAAGCAGGCCAATATTTTGATCACGGCTTGTAAAGTCGCTCACCAAAGAGGATTTCCAGAACTGCTTCACAAAATGACAAAAGCAGTTGGGTGTGACAGTGCACCCCTGCAATCCCAGAACTTTGGAGGCTGAGGCAGGAGGATTGTTATGAGTTCAGGACCAGCCTAGGCTACAAAGAGAGCTCAAGGCCAGCCTGAACTGCACGGCAAGACTCTAAAGACCAGAAAATGACAAAAATGATGGGATAGCTGCTACCCTGCACCGGCGGGACCAGTCCCAGCCCAAGTGCAGCATAGGCCGGACCCTCTCCCGCCCCCTCGGGCCACCCCACACCCCTCCCGCCGAGTAGGAATTTCTGCCGACTTCCGGTAACCCCCAGACCCAGTCCTAGCCTAGGTCCAGTGAGTGTGTGGAGAGCTTCCTGCTACCCTGCGCCGCCGGGACCAGTCCCAGCCCAGGCGCAGCGTGGGCCGGACCCTCTCCCGCCCCCCTCGGGCCGCCCCCCCTCCCGCCGAGTAGGAATTTCTGCCGACTTCCGGGAACCCCCAGACCCAGTCCTAGCCCAGGTCCCGTGAGTGTGTGGAGAGCTTCCTGTTACCCTGCGCCAGCGGGACCAGTCCCAGCCCAGGCGCAGCATAGGCAGGACCCTCTCCCACCCCCTCGGGTGGCCCCCCACCACTCCACCTTACCTG